AAACCACTGTCCTACACTCTCCTGACATAATGTACATCTATTAGGAACATGTTTTCCATGTTGCTGGATAAGACGACTCTACTCTACTAGTAACCCACTATAGTTAACTACTTTAACATAATTTAAGATGACCTATGATATAGTCCAACATGTATATAGTACATATACTTAGCCTGTTACATTTACTCTATAATAACACACTGCTGCCTAATTTACTATGGTGCACTATATTTGTTTACAGGACAAGTATGGTTTGGTAAATCCTACCAAAGCCATACATTACACAATTAAACACTATGATTTTATACTACAGATCACTTTACTACACTCCAAACTGCTCTAATAAGTGGCTATGAATTTACAGAGCCAACATGTGGTGTCTATATGTCTCCACACAGTGCTGCCTATAAAGCTGTACTACTACACCACACTACACATGTACATACTGGAACACCTGACCATAAATGTGCCACTGTTACATCACGCTACAACACGGGCCGCTCCACTACACTCGACTACGCCACACAATAAAGCACACTATGCATTTATTTGTTGAAAACGCGGACTGTAAATGTGCAACAGTTACTCAAAAGGCTATTTCCCATCTATTATTGTACACTATACTGCTCTATACCGGTTTTTAGAGCAAGCACGGCCCTATAGCTAAAAGCAGAGTGCTCTCTCTATAGTACATCTTTATATATTAGTGCTACACCACTTTACTCTACACTACTGCACAACATAGTACATTTATTTGAGAAATCTTACTGTAAATGTGCACCTGTTAGTCGCCAAAAGATGTACGTACTGTACACCACTGCACATTTCAGTTACAGTACAGTACATTACGAATTCATTTTTTCAAAAGAACTACTGTAAATGTGACAGCCAAAGTCTATTTAAGAGCTGTCTCTGGACAGATTTTGAAGTATAACCTGCTAAACTATATTTTACTTTACTCTGTACAGCATTACAATAGTAAAGGCCATTTTTCTACAACAGAATATGTGCATTTATTGTAAAAATAACAGACTTTAAATGTGCCACAATGCAAATACGACCCAAAAGCCAAAGCTAAGAGGCCTTTATATAAGTTTTTTGCACTAAATCTACTAAACTATACTATATATGACACTTTAATAGTTATTTCCTTTAATACACTCTCCCATACGTTGAAAGAAATACTGTAAATATGCAACAGTCAGACAAAAGTCTACATGTCTGTTGTATCCTGGAAATAAACTTACATAATAACCTGCTAATCTACACTTTATATCACTTTATGCAACATTACGATACTCCAAGCCTCTTTTATAACACACTATACGTTCATTTACTGTAAAAATAACATCCTTTAAATAGCCACATTACAAACATGACCATAAAGTTATAAATCTTTACACACTTAACCTACTAAAACCTACTTTACAAGACACTAAACTAGCACTCTACTTTATTATATTCTTGTATATATAAAGAACAATACTGTAAATGTGCAACAATCAGTTGTACACAGTCACCTGGTAAACTAGACTTTATATTACACTGCAGCTTACTTCCTTATAGGCCTCCTTTCTACCACATTATAGGTTTATTTCGTACAAAAAAAACAAAAAAAAACAGACTTTGAATGTGGCACAGTCCACCCAAAAGCTGGACAGGTGCTACAAACATGATCAAAAATCCAAACCTACGTGGTTTATTATATTTGAAAAGATATACTGTACATAAGTCACAGATTTTCGGTTTCTGTATTTCATCTGTTGTGCCTGGATGGATGTTACTCTCTTATATACTTTATGATACTCCACTGGTTTTCACAGCAGACATGGCCCGGCAGCAAAACTTAAACAGTTTCTATCCAGTGCACGGTTGCACACGACAGCTACAGTGGATTCATTTATAGAAATATGGATTTAAACTTACATTATAGCACAAAAACCATCTTTTATATCACACTATAGCCTTTGGATTCTGTGCTGTTATTTATTGGGGGGAAAAAAGACTTCAAATGTGCTACAGTCCAACCAAAAGCTGGATCAAAAAGCCAATCTAAGTGGTCTCTCTATATATATATCTTTATGCCCTAAGCCTACTGACCTGAACTCTGTGTGACATTACACTAGCACTCTCCTATACTTCACTCTTCTATACATTGAAAAAAATACCAAAGGACACTGTACACAAGCATGGTCCAGTAGCCAAACGCTAAACAGTCTACATACAGTACGCGTCTGTACACTACAGTTACACACTACTTTACTATGGATTCATATATTTGCACTATAACCTGTGGACTCCTAAGTTATTCTGTATATGACACTATACAGCATTACTACAAGTAGTACCACACTATATGTTTATTTATTGTAAAAAATAACAGATTTTAAATGGACAGGCATTACAAACGTGACCAAATGGCCAAGCTAAGTGGGTCTCTATCTATAAATCTACTAACCTCTTCTCTATGTGACACCAAACTAACACCACACTAAGTTCAAACACAGCCCATAACCAAAAGCTAAACTCTGTATATACAGTACACACTACTGTGACCTAAACCTACTGAACTGTACTCTCTGTGAAACTACACCAGCACAGTAATATGTCAAAATATTACTGTAAATGTGAAACAATCGCTTATTGTCTCAGGACAATAACTTTGTAAACTCTACTGTATATCAGACTATTCACTACACATTATAGAACACTACACTGTGCTTAAGCATGACCCAGAAGCCAAAAGCTAAATGGTGTATATACAGTACACACTACTATACCCTTGATTAAATTATTCACACACAAAAAAAACTGTAAATGCACAACAGTAAGCCAAAAGTCTATTTACCTGTTGTCTCCTGGACATGTACACTACTACTATTATTACTATACTGTAGGCCTCTTTTGCACCATATTTTATGCTTATTTATTATACAAAACAATCAAAAAAATATTTTATATGTGCCACAGTCACATTTAAGCTGGAAATACACTTCAAATACACAGTCTATGTGTGTTCTTATTCAGTGTATCAGCAAAACTGTGCAGTATATGACAGCAGCAGTAGTACTATACGATATTCTACCCTTCAATATATTGGAACACATTACTGTGAATGAGTCACGTAGTTAACATTCTTTGGTTTATATGTTTCATCTGTTGTCTCTGGATAGATGTACCTCTCTTATTATTATGTTTTTCATGGCAATATGGCCTAATAGCCAAAACCTAGATGGTTTATATACAGTACACATTTGTACACTAAAGTGACAACACACTCTACTACACTACGGACTCATAGCGTGATACACTAAAGTCTACAGTACTACTACACAACAAGCCTGTTTTTTTAACCACATTACGTGTTTTTTACTATAAAAACAACTGACTTTAAATGTGCCACACTGTGCACACGACCCAATAGCCAAAGTTAAGTGATCTCTATATGTTTTCTACTAAAGCGACTAACATGTGCTCTCTGTGACATTACACTCCACGATACTACGCTTCTGTACATGTCGAAAAAAATACTGTCAGTGTTCAGCAGTCACACAATCTATTTACCTGTTGTGTCCGAGACATATTCTTAAACTATAGCCTGCTACAGCCTCTTTTCTACCACACTATATGCTGATTGTAAAAAAAAACAGATTTTGAATGTGCCACAGTTCACTACAAGCATAGCCAAAGATAAATGATCTCTACCCAAAGTATGGTATGTGACAATACATTCAACTCTAATCTATTCCTCTGTATGTTAAAAAAAATACTGTGAATGTGTCAGTAAAACAAAAATATTGGGCAAAAAAGCCAAAGCCAAGTGATCTCCGTATACTTTTATGCATCAAACATACTAAACTGTACCCTATGTGACATTACACTAGCACTTTACTATATTATACTGTTCCATAAGTTAAAAAAATGCTATGAATGCATCAGTATGTCAAAGACTTTTGGCTTATATGCTTCGTTAGATGTCCATGGACAGATGTCACCTTCTTATATATAATATTCTACTTTAGGAGTCTGGTTTTCAGGGGAAATATGGCCCAGTAGCCAAAGTTAAGCGATCTCTATAAATTTCCATGCACTAAACCTACTAATCACATGACACTATCACTATATTATACTCTTCTACATGTTTAAAAATGACAGTACATGTGTCAGCTAGTCAAGCATCGTTGGTTTAAGTGGTTCATCAGTCTGTGGACAGATGTCACCTTCTTATATATAATATTCTACTTTATGAGTCTAGTTTTCAGGGGAAATATGGCCCAGTAGTCAAAGCCAAGTGATCTTAAACCTACAAAACTGTCCTCTGCATGACACTATCACTATGTCATACTCTTCTACATGTTTAAAAATGACAGTACATGTGTCAGTTAGTCAAAAATCGTTGGTGTATGTGGTTCATCAGTCTGTAGACAGATGTCACCTTCTTATATATTATATTATACTAGTTTCCAAGACAAACATGACCCTATAGCCAAAGCCAAGTGGTCTCTGTATACTTTAATTCATTTAACATACTAAACTGTGCCCTGTGTGACACCACACTGGCACTACACTACACTGAACTGTTCAATATATTTAAAAAATAGAGTAAATATGTCAGTTTGTCCAAATAATGAGGTTCATATGTTTCATCTGTTGTGCCTGGACATATGTCACTCTCTTACATTATACTATTTTATTCTGGTTTTCAGGGTGAATATGGCCCAGAAACCAAAAGCTAAGAGGTGTCAGTGTACCTGAGTGTTCATGTCCATCCTGACAGGCCACATTGGGCTTAGATGATTATTAAATATTCCTAATAATAATCCTAAATGTATCAGGACAACAGGCCCCACATCTCCATCATTTGTCATTGACAGCCGCAGGGGGTAGTGTTCACTGCCGAGCCGACAGATGTGGCAAAAGGCCTCGGCAGAGCGGTGGCAGAGCTGTCGGACAGGCCGGTGCGTTTGGGTTTCTAATAATAAAGTGGAGGTAGGACCTACCGAGCAGCAGCAGCCGGTGCGTCTGCTTGTACTCCCGCTTCAGCTCCTTCAGCGCCCGGTCAATGTTCTTACTGACTTTCTTCGCCTCCTTCTCGGCCTCTTTCTCCTCCACCAGTAATTTGTCCCAGTTTTTCTGCTTTTGGGTGCTGGTCTTTTGCAGCAGCTGTAAGCGTCGGCCGCGGTCCTTCCCCGTCCCCTTCCCGCTGCCTCCTCCACCTCCACCGCCGCCACCACCACCGCCTCCGCCGCCGCCACCTCCACCTCCGCCGCCTCCGTTCTGTATGAGCACACCGTCGGTGCCGGTGTCTCCACGGCGGTGCTCCCCGGCCGGGAGCCTGGCAGCAGGGTCCCCGGGGCGCACCAGGCCGCCGCCGCCGCCTCCACCGCCGCGTAGCGACGAAGTCTCCCCGCATCCCCCGGTGTCCTCCTGGCGAGCTCCCCCGGCGCGGGTCGGCACGGCGGCGTCCGGAGGCTGGTCCGAGTCCGAGGTAGCGTTGGAGATAGAGCCGCTCAGGTCCCCGAAGAGCCGGGGACGCAAACTGTAGCACAGCCCCATGTTGAAACCAATATTTGTCTGTGAATGTGATTTCTCATAAATTAAAATATCAAAAAAAATCGCCGTTGCGCCGCCAGCCCTAACGAGCCATCGTCACACCGGAGCTCCAGCGGTGCGATTTAGGTCCGAATTTGAGCCGAAAATGTGAATGAATTATGCTCCGACATTTGCTATATGTCATTTTGCATTTTCCCCAGTCAGCCTTCGCTTCGTAGTTAGTGGATCACCTGATCCTTTAGTGGACACTGCGGGTCCACCTTACCGTAAGTAACCAAAAGCACAACCTTGGAGGAAAAACGCGGCGATCCGCTGCGCAGACAGTCAACAATCCGGCTGCACAGTTGTTAGGTGCAATGCACGGCACGTCACATTACTACAGTATGGCCATTTCGAGAATGCTGGTCATGATTTTCATTCCTCACATTTCATGCCTGCATGTCTGAAGCAGTAGGAGTCTCCTGCAGACGGCTCAGACCTGCGCTCCTATTTTAAGAGCAACAAAGCGTTTCTATATTTGGCCTCGTGGATATTTATTTAAAAAATCACACATCCTGCACACCAGATTACTGAAAACACAATAGGGGATTTAAACTTGTAGGACAGCTTTTTTTTTTTTTGCTGTTAAATGAAACTAGGATCTATAGTCTGTGAACATCAGTCATTTGTGTGACACCTTGAATTTATATTTTAAGAATAATTGAATGTGAAAGTGATAATGAAAGTATTATTAATATGCAGCATTTCCATGTTATTTATGAGCTGTTGTTCTTGTATATATTCACATTAAAACATGTCTTGTTATTGCACTGTAACCCTGCTTTTACTGCCCATACTACACAAGCATGCAGCAAATAAAAGGTCTTTATTCAACCTCAGGGTAACTATGCGTAGCTTTGTGTTTCCTATGTTGTGCCTGTTTCTTCTGAATGTTAGGGTTCAACATCAAGACACAATCTGTCTTAGACCAAACTGCAAAAAAAAAAACTAAAATCATAAATACCTTTATTTATAACTTTATGTTGTGTAATATCTTTATTCTTAAATTCTAAAGGTTTTACTGTCTCCTCAACTATTTATTTATTGGGATTTGAACTACAGTTGAGTGGTCATGAAATAACAGAAATCTATGTTTTATTAGTGCATAAGTGGATATGAAAAATCACTAATTAGAATATAATCAGACATGCACTAGATGTAGTAGAAGCATAGTGTAATCTAAAATGTCTAGGTGGAATAGTTTTGAAGACAGTCTGCTAATATTTATTCAATATAAACAATGCATGTAAGTATATAAGATGTGTGAGTAACATGGACGGGTATACACAGTATGATACAGTATGAACAGGATGAACAGAGTGGCATAAACACATTGAAAATATAAAGACCATCTTGTCAATATTGTAGTTTTTATATACTATTGAATGTGAATGAATAAATGGCAGGTTACTTGTGTACACAGTGGAAGCCAGTTTGTGCTATTTTTTAAAGGTAAATGGTTGTACTGCTTAATTGAAACAAAACATTGTAAGTGTGACACACAAGGGCACAAATTAGCCCTTAGTATCAGGGGTATAGCAGCTGTACCTTAAAGCGATAGTGTGCTTCATTTTCCAAGAGCGCAGCACACTGGACTCATTTTTAGAGTCCCTGTAAATCTGTTCCCTAAATATGTGTCAAAAAAAACACAAGAAATGTTTTAATTCATCTTTCATATTTCTGTGAAAACATTCAAACTTGTGCTTTCGTTCTCAGTAACCCCCCTGCAGGAATCTTCTCTCCAACACTGTTTGTCCTCTTTGTGCTGAATCGGTGCTGGATCAAAACAACATGATGTTGTTTTCCAGCTGAGGTTCACTTGAACAAAATAACTGATGACCAGTGACCTTTGTGGCATGAATAATTAGTTAAGGATCAGGAGACTTAGTGGCTGCCTGGAGGATTGGGGCCAAAGACACAAACACATGCAGGGATGAAGGCAAACCACTAGATGGAGGCCTTGTAAAAGACATTTCCAGGGGAACAAGCCAGTCAGTGGCAGGCATTAGTGGAAACTTGTCAGCAGTGGTGGAGAGGAGTTAAGGACATTCACTGAAATACTGCACTTACGTACAAGTTTTAGGTATTTACTTGGATTTTTGCCATTTATGCTGCTTCATACTTCCACACAGTGTCGACATTTATCTGAAAGTTTTAGTTCCTTTTATAAAACAAGCTTTTAATCTCCCATTATTCATGTAAGTCACTTTTACCTGCTGCCATTGTTTATAAAAGTGGACATAAAGTAGTGCGAACCTGCAGCAGCTTCAACAATAACATGCTTCTGACACACTGATGTTCCACTATTATCAATCTAATGAGGCCATATATAATAAAATATCAGTCAGAGGGAGCAAACCAGTGCTTGAACTTTCAAACTCAAGATTTTTACCACATTTTGCTGCTGATACTTACTATATTTTGCTTTGTTGACAGTTTTACTCAATTAAAGGTGATATCAAATATCTGTAAAATAATTGTAAAATAATAATATTTTTAGCTGATTTAAATACAGTAAAAAAGAAAAAGCAGTGTATTTTGTGGTCACACATAACACAAGAACAAAATACTGTTTGTAAAACAAAATATTTCTTTTAAAAAATCGGAGTAAAACTGTTAACCTTTTTTAGAGTGTCATTTTTTTTTTAGTACTTTAAAATCTAAATGTTCAATTCTTATGAAGTATTATACGTGCATTTTATACGTTTTATGTAGGACAGTGTAATTCTGATTCATTTTATTTTGGAAGTCTTGTTGTCTAGGAGACAAACGGGCAGAGCTGTTAGCATCACTTTCTACATCACCGTCCTATTGAGCACAGAAATGTCTCCTATGGTGAGTTTACTTTACTCATTTTATGTAAGACAGAAAAAAAAATCAGTAAAAATGTCTGTTTTGTTTAAAAAAAAAAAAAAAAAAGAAGTCATTTTTACGGAATACAGTCAAAAACAGGCGGCTAAAGTTAGCTTATTTTGCGCTTACGCTAAAGTATTTAGCATTATAGCAACGTTAGCTGTGTTAGCTAACTAGTTCAAATATATAACAAAGTTTTCAGATAAAAGGGTGTAAAACTAATCCCCAGCTCACGTCAGTAACAACGCTTTGTTCAACATTAACATTAATTACTTCAATTTTAAGAAGTAGAAGCTAATAAACACAAATTTTAAAGTTCTTCAGGTTGTTAAAGCATAAATCTGTTAGCTGTGTTGCACACAATGCACTTATTCACTTTTCTGCTTTAGCACAACAAATTAGCTCACTGTTCCATTTATAAAGGCTTATCTTGTCTTAAACCACGCAATATGAGTAGCTTAAATTATTGTAGCTATCAGTTGTTATTATTTTAAGATTCAAGGAGTCTTTATTTACTAGCTGTTTGTTATTATTGTTGTTTATTTTTAGCCATTAAGACGATGCACTAAAACATGTATTTTTCATGCACTGGGTAATGTTGACATTTTGGAATAATAGCTTCAATTGCATGATTTCTTTCAGACTAATGAAAAAAACGCATGTAAAATACACTTTTTGGTGTTTTTCATCATTGTCCAATCCAGAGATCGCTGAAAATGACTGGACTCACGTTTGACTGTTTGACCTCTGACCTACTGCAGAAGACCTGCAGAGTCTTAGCATTATAATGCATCCATTACCTTAACTCACCAGAGAGATTTTTTTGTACAACTGAGCTGATGAGAACTAATAAGTTAATCTGCAATATTTAAAAAAAATCTGTTTAACACAAAAGCCAAAAAAGTATTGCCCCCCGCTTTAGAAATATCAGTCTTCGCTGGTTTTCTTAGTCTTCCATTGATAATAAATTCAATATGTTTGTGATTCTTCACAAACTGGGAGCACAAAAATTGTTCTCCTTCACTACTTCTAATTGTTCTATAAAGCATTAGCTGATTTATTGTTAATAAAGCCACTGGATATCACTCATGACTTCTGTTGAAAGTGTAGCCCGATAGAAAGTGGTGTCATCACTTAAGACATAACCTACTTTACCTCCTCTGACCTGGTCTCCCATCATTTATAAATACACTGACCCTAATTTGTATGGCCAACATGTACTTACTCCTGTCCAGTGCAAAATGTGGGTTAAGTGGATATAACAAAAAACCTGGCATGACTGAACAGTTAAAGTCGGAAGTAACGAATGACAGCACAGTAAGTTAAAGTGACCTCCAAAGGAAATGACTGATGCATTCATTGCTGTTGTGCTTCTGTTTGTTTGGATGGAATGTTTTTCAGTAATGATAATGATATTGGAATTCCCTTATTGAAATAATTTATACAAACATAGCAAACTAAATGACACATATTTACATTCTCTCTTTGTGAAAATGTGCATTTCTCTTTTTAAATTGGACTTCAAATTGGATTCCTCTGCTTCTAGTTTAGTGGGATCAAACTAAACCACAGCTGATAATTTTACAAAATAGACTAAGTTGTATTGGATTGGTTGAGATGTAACACCAGAAACAGCCAGGATTGGATGCAGGTAGAATTAAGTCTGATAGCTGATGCAATAAAAAACAGAAATGTGTCACTGTGGTTTTATTTTTCAAATTCAAAGGACTTAAACCACGTCTCTATGTTTTCCTGTGAGTCTGTTTCCTGGCGCACTGCTTCAGTCACATGACTTTAATCCACTTCTCCTCACAGGGGCTCGCCCTTCCTTTGTTAAGGCTTAGCTTGGGATAGGTGAGACACAGTGCAACAGGCAGGATCCAGACAACATCACTTTCCCACTCTGCCTTGCCAGGTAAACCACTGGTATATCTATGTCTATCTATATCTGTATCTGCAGAGAGAAAAGCAAAGGATGACAGGATGTTTTATTTCTGCATTTCCACAGCAGAAACCTTTGTGTAGCCTCACAGCAGCAGGATAAAGCAGCACAGAGGTGGCTGATCTGTGGAGGGATGCTAGTGTGTTTACAATGACCAACTGCTGGAGTGTCGGGGACTGCCAAGGCTCCTTGCTGAAGGAGAGACTGAAGGAAGGCTCAGTGTGGACGATGAACCGGTACACCATGCTCAAGCAGCTGGGCGACGGCACATACGGCAGCGTGCTGCTGGGGAAGAGCAACGAGACCGGGGAGCTGGTGGCCATCAAGAGGTGAGTGGAGCTCAGACAAACATGGTCGGGACGCACAGTACTGTTGTTTTGTCTAAAAGCGTTAAGCTGATTAAACCCTGAGTGGCTGCTACAAGGCGCTTTGCACTTAAACATGCTGCATCCTGACAAGGCTCACGTGGATAAGAAATTAGATAATAAAGTCAAAAGTTGTTTTTTTGTTTTTTTGCTTGCATCATGTGTTGCAGGAAATAAACCTTTAAAATGACAAAGTTTGGGAAATTATGAAGAACAACAGATTCTGTTTTACGAGCAGAGCTGATCTGACATAACCTCCTTTCTGTTTAACATTTTAAGAATGGGCTGTTTTTGGCTAGAAATTAGAAATAAATGTTTCTTGAGGCTCCGCCACGCCTCGTTTGTAAATGTAAGGGTAAAGGGCATTATGGTACTACCATGGCAGTGACTGGAGGGAGGATAGGAAGCATATTGTGAAAGTAAAACTTGTTACACATTTATGTCCCTCTCTGGTCATTTAACCCCTAAAACTTGTCTCTGTGCATCACAGTTCCCTGTTTTTTACTAAAATAATCAGGTCCTGCCTTAAATTTGCTTACATATAACTCTACACCGTTGCTTTCTCTAAAAAGTACAGATCTGTGAAGTCCCCACCTCTCTCTCCACCCACCCAGCCTCACTTGCTGCAGCTCAAGCACACCAGCTCGCCTGCAACTACTACACACTACATAATAGCAAGTTGTAATATTGGCGCAATTCAGCCATACTTTTTTGAACTGGAAACCATCTCTGAAGATGAATAATGATGCAGAAATCAGCACCCTGCAATAACACCACATGCACATGTAAACTAAAACGTGATTTACACTGATGGTGGTCTTTGAATATCAAAATGTTTGTCATAAACTATGGGTACAACAGTGATGCAAATTAATGCCTATACTTGACTTTCATTTGAGGATTATGTAGCAGTTTTGATATTAAGATCTCAAACGTCTTTTCACACAATGATATACACAAGAACAAAAACAGGAGAAAATGTAGCTTTAGGTTTCCAGAAATACCAGACACCATAAAAAAAAGCAGGTTTAAATACTAAAATCTGATCCTCTCTATATCACAACCTTCCTAAATAGAAACTTAAAACAATTTCTCAAATAAATGACCTCTGTTTATTGGCATACTGTAATATTCTTGTTAAAGATACAGCTCAAAATGAGAGAACTGCACTACATGGTGGTAGCTGAACTCCTAATTAAACTGCCTGACTTTCCATCCATCCATTATCTATACACCGCTTAATCCTCACTAGGGTCGTGGGGGGCTGGAGTCTATCCCAGCTGACTCAGGGTGAAGGCAGGGGACACCCTGGACAGGTAACCAGTCTATCACAGGGCTACACTTAGAGACAGACAACGAAGCACCTACAGACAATTTAGAATCACCAATGAACCTCAACATGTTTTTGGACTGTATGGGAGGAAGCCGGAGAACCCAGAGAGAACCCACACTGCACAGGGAGAAAACTCCACTCAGAAAGATCCCAGGTGTGCTCACCGGGACGGGAACCGGCGACCTTCTTGCTGCGAGGCAACAGTGCTAACCACCACTCCACCTTGCAGCCCCTGCTTAACTTTGTTGATGTAAATTCTGAATAATTTGCTGACATTATGTGTGGCTGACTCTGAAAAATCTAAACTATTTTTGTTTGCTTATCAGCTGTTATGAACCAAACATAACTGCTGGAATACACAGACATTTGGACACTGACGTAGCTACTTAGGTGGCAACATGTCAACACTAACGTATAAAGTGTAGTCTACATGTGTTTTATTCCCCAACAGGATGAAGAGGAAGTTTTATTCTTGGGATGAGTGCTTGAATCTAAGAGAGGTGAAGGTAAGAATCTTTGTGGTTATAAGATGATGCAGCAGCTCAGATGAAATAAATGTTAAAAAAACTCACTTTTGAAGCTATAACAGGCATTACTGTCATTTTAAGTGTGTAAATGTTTTTTGTTTTTTACAGTGGAGCTCCGTGAGTTTTGTTGTTGCACCTACAAACTAAGCTAAACAACATTAATAGTTTATTTTTGTGGTATAGTTGACATGTACAAGTCCCGTCAGTGCTGTTTTTTAAGTATTAAATAAGGTTTTATTCATGTTGTTAAGTTTTAAATCATCTAAGTTATAAATATGTCATAGTCTTCGCTCTAACTCTCATTTTACCTCGTTAGCTGCAAACTGATTTATTGACATACTTTATTCTGGTCCACAATTGTATCATAAGTTTGATCCACTGAACAACCAAATGAAGATGCTTTCAACTGACACTGCCCGCGCCTGTGTGTTAAAAATAGCGACAGGCAACAGGTGATGTCGAAATTATTTTGGAAGCTCAAACTATTCTGGGCGTGCAATGTTTTTGTGCAGCTGAGAGAAAACAATAATTTAGACGCTGTGTTTGGACATTTGAGGTAATTTACCTACATAATGAGATGATTGCTAATGAGTATATTGTATGTTGTTTCCTCAGTCACTGAAGAAGCTGAATCATGCCAATGTGGTGAAACTGAAGGAGGTCGTCAGAGAAAATGACCACCTGTACTTCATCTTTGAGTACATGAAAGAAAACCTGTATCAGCTCATGAATGAACGGTAAGAATACATCAGAGACAAAAAAAATATCTTCGCACATGAAGTTATGTTAAAGCAAAATCACATTGTGTGTATCATGAACATCAGCCTTTTAGTCATTTCTGTGATTTAATTCTGCTGTGTGTTTTTTTGTCACCACTGGGAATGTGAGAATTATTTGGGTCAGCTTGAGTCATCACGTGTCGGTCTCCGTTTTTACAGAAACAAGTTGTTCCCTGAGTCAGACGTCAGAAACATGACATTTCAGATATTACAGGGACTCTTCTATATTCATGAACATGGTAGGTGACTTCAGTGAGGCCCTTCAGTGCAGACAGATGCTGTATTTTCTGTATTATAAAGTGCTGTCCACTCTATTTGAGTATGTATAATTCAGCAAACAAAAACATTAAACCTGAAAATGATATAAATGGGCATACTGGACAGCTGATCAGGCGTCACAGGATTTTTTTTTTCAAAAATGACTCACTTCTCCTGTGATCCAGTGAAAAAAGGAGGTGTGAGAGCTTAACTCAGCGAAGTTTTGCTCCTCAGGAAGAAAATAAATCCACTCTGTTTGTAGTATTTGTGGGTATTTGTGTCATTCCCACTTCAATAAGACTTAACTGTTTGCAGTGTTTTTTTCTTTATCCCTTCTTTCTTTCTTTTGTCTTCCACCACTTTGCTGCTGCCAGGGAAGATAAGATGTTTTCTGAAAATGAGATAAGGAACATTCTGTTCCAGGTATTATCTGGCTTAGCATTTGTGCATAAGCACGGTAAGAGACTCCTTCTGTCTTTCTCTTTTCCTTTCCATCTAATTTAAAGGCTGTCAGGTTAAATCTTCCTTTACCTGCAGATGTGTTTCAGTCAGGAGCCTTTGATTGGCATCAATAGAGGGTCGTGTCTTGGTGGTAGTGTTAGTGGTCGTGATAGTGATAGAAGCTAAAAGGTGACAACTGTTTTGTTTTAGAAGATCATTTTAATCTATGCAAATATAACCATCAGAAAAGGTTTACTTATGTGTTCTTATTTTTTAGGGTATTTCCATCGCGACATGAAACCAGAGAACTTGCTGTGCATGGGCCCGGAGCTGGTTAAGATCGCAGATTTTGGACTAGCAAGAGAAATCCGCTCACAACCACCTTATACGGATTATGTGTCCACGAGATGGTGAGGCAGATTTTTTTTTACACGAGCGTGAGAATAATTCCTGTAGATACAAAAATGTTTCCAAAACAAACAGTCTGCTGTAAAATCACTTAGCACAAGCCTTAAAAAAGACTCTTGGATTAAACTGATACCTGGCAAGAGAAAGATAAATCTGGTTAGGAGGTGGAAAGGAAGGCAGGGTGACTAGACAGAGGATAATCAGTGTTGGGATTATTGAAAGGTTTTTCCTGGATCAACAATGGGCTTTTGGGGAGGCTTAGATTTAAGGTTAAGGGTTTATGGTTAGCTGACAGTAAAGGTAATGAGTCTATGTTACCAGAATGAACTTTCCTGTGTTTTTTCTGACCACATGGTAAGCAAAAATATCCTTGCATAAATGACAAACCAGTGTAGCAAAACCTTTTTTTAAATAAACTGTTATTTTTATTCTCAATTCTTGCCATTGTGCTACTAGAGATTTTCCTTTTGCTGTAGACTAAAACCTCTCTGGGGGGCAGTAGAAATTTCTCTGTGCAGAAAAACCCTGTATATGGGTCTTAATTGGCTGCTCTTCTCTATTTAGTTTACATAATAGAATTAATTTCTCGCTTAGAACTTAAATGCAAACCTCTCTGTTGACAGTAAAGTACAGTATGCTATGCAGTACCCTGTCTGATATGGGATTGTTCACCTTTGATTAAACAAGATTAAAAATCTATTTCCGCCTTTGTCCTTTAGCTATGCACATATGTACCTTTGGATTTGAGTTGCCTTTTACTTGTTGCATTGACAGTAGTGAAAAATTACATTTAAAATATTCAACAGTGAAAGTTTAAGCTGTTGGGTGTATTCTTTGTAATTAAAAAAAAATTACTTCTACATTAGAATTTATTTCCAGCAAGGCAAGGTCTGTGCGTAGCGAAAAGGGGACACCAACTCAGGAAAGATTCTTAAATGTAAAAATGTGATTACAATTTTAAAGATTGTGAGCAGTGAGAAGGCAAAATTTTCCCAGATAAATGCTTTAAAACTTGGGCAAATCAGGGCAAAACTATCCACAATACAGGATTATGCTGGTTGCTGGTAGAGGAAGCTAAGACAATATGCTCTTTAGTAATCTGGACGAACTGACCCTTTAATAATAAACGCTGCAGCTCTTCTAGAGATAATGTGCAAAATATTACATTATAATCCAACGCTGAAGAGGAATTTTGTTAATTGAGGTTCTAAAATGCAGCAAGAAAACTGAATGTTTGTGACAATGTAGTTAAATAATTACGTGCCAGTGCTCTCTCTTCATTCCCCTGTGCTGTTCTGTCAGGTACCGAGCTCCAGAGGTTCTGCTCAAGTCCAACTCTTACAGCTCTCCCATCGATATCTGGGCCGTGGGCTGCATCATGGCGGAGCTGTACACCCTCAGACCGCTGTTTCCAGGCAACAGCGAGGTGGACGAGATCTTCAAGATCTGTCAGGTGCTGGGAACGCTGAAGAAGGTGAGGAGCCGTCGTAGCAGGTGTCATGTCGTGGTTCTGCTGGGGTGGCAGCTGTAAAAAAAAAAAAAAAGCAACCAAATTTATCACCTTCTGCACTTTTACTACTATTTAACAGTTGTTTTCTTCTTCTGCAAAGTAAAATAATAACTAATGACTGTCCCCACATCAGTCTGACTGGCCTGACGGCTACAACCTGGCCACCTCGATGAACTTCCGCTTCCCAAAATACACCCCCACCAGCCTCAGATCGCTGATTCCCAACGCCAGCAACGAGGCGATCTCACTGATGAAAGACATGCTGCAGTGGGACCCCGAGAAAAGACCGAGTGCTGCTCAGGTACATTTAAAACCCATTAAGTTTTCATATGGATCAGCTGGAATGAGCACAAACACTGGCTAGCATTGAGGCGACACTGTTTGCAGTCCTTCTGGTGAACGCCTTTATCCCGAGCACCTTTAAGTACCTTGAGTGCATCTATTTTTAGCTGCAGTGGTCCTGCAGTGTGAATCAATCAGCTTACCTTGGCAGTTAATGCAATACCAAACGTGACATTTGGATGTACTGAGGTAGTGCACATCCGCTAACAAGTCGAGGTTTGAGACGGACGCAGACCAGTGTGAAAAGTTAACTGTTCCTTAAGCTTTTAAATTATGAAAAAAGGATGTGCATATTGGTTAAGTACTTTACTTCAGCTGTGATAAATGTGCATTAGCCGTTTGTCTCCTTCGTGCAACATGTACGAGTCAGTATCTTATAAACTCGAATACATCCCCTTGTTTCTACATTCTTTCTCAGAATTTTAGTGTTTCATCATAATAATCATACTTTTCTGTATGCTCTTACTGTGCTTATTTTCTTGTTTTGTGCCACTTTGTAAGCTTCTCTTTCATGCACAAATATAAATCTTGCTGATATTTTTCACCGTTTTGTATTGACTGTGTTTTCTAGGCTCTGAGGTATCCATACTTCCATGTGGGACAGTCACTCGGTGCCCCTCTGAAGTACTCAGAGCAGCACAGGACTCAAGAAAAGGCATCTGAGGCAGCTACAGAACTGAAGCCACTGTCCCTCTGTAAGACGGATCTGGACTCTTGTGAGCTCGGCAAGTCCCAACCAGAACCGCAGACCTGCAGCCGGTCGCTCCATCAGCCTCTGCAGCAGATCCCCCTTCCTCAGGAGAACATGGAGGCCAACACACTCCAACTAGTGTGTCCGATGACGGAGGGGCAGCAAGAACCTCTCAGCCTGGTGAAGAGCAGGCAGCCAGGGAGCTGCAAAGCTGTAACTGTCAGTCAGGTAATGTCAGAATGCAAACTATGTTCACATCAAAGACCTTAAAAATCTATTTCAGCCATGTTTAACTTTGTTGGAACTTTCATTTCCTGTTTTTATACTTCCACTTTTGATATATTTCAGTGACACTAGAGTATATTAATGTTACAATAATACATGTTCATTTTTAACATGCAAATAATCTTTCTTCATCAGCGAGGAGCCGCTACAGGAGCAGAAAACAGTGTGTCCGTGGCCCGGACCGGACGCCGACGATGGGGTCAGACGTCCTTCAAGTCGATCGACAGCTGGGACGATGGCGACGACACAGATGCCGGAGTTTCCATCTCTAAAAAACCCACAATCGCTTCTGTGAAGAACAGGGCTCTGGATGGGTCCAGCTGCCGGTTAGACAGCTTCATATTCAAGTTAAAGTTTCTCCATTAGAGTTCTGAAAAAAATACAATAATATGTTTTTATGTAGAATTTCAGAGTCAAAGAACATCTCGGGTGCAAAGCTGCCGAGCAACGCTGGGCTGAGCAGAACCGACTCCACCACAATGTCCGCCAAGCAGCACTACCTCCGCCAGTCCAGATATGTGCCCGGTGAGAACAAATGATCTAACTGTACCTCATTAACCAGCCTCTCTGGATTGGAGGTGGAATAACACAGTTTTCATAATTGTAGCTTAAAGTTTCCTTTATCCAAGTCATGGTAGTTGAGTTGTAGATGGAACCAAAAGCTGAACACAAAACAGAAATTTAACAGAAAGTTTTGGTAAATCAGAAACTATTTATGTTACAGTTATTACATGACATTAAAAAGGGAACTCTTCTCACTAAAACCAATAAACAAAGAAGCAGAACAACAAAGAAAAGACCCAGAAAACACAGAATACACTGAAAGGAGTTTGAAAAAGGACACAGGTAGTAGACTGTTGGTTTGGGTTGTCAGTCTGTATACAAACCAACTGAAATGATGATGGTACTTTAAATGTACTAAAAATGATAAATCCAAATAGCTTTCAGCAAAATTTGATCTGATCAGGCCTTGTTCTTTTACTACTGTTTGTCTGGATTTTTGGTTTTCAAAGCTGATTTAAAATTATTCTGCAACAAAAACCTAAAGTCTGAAGCTGCAAAAGTTCAGGTTTATTTACTGGAGAAGGTGTTCTTGTGAGAACCACATACATAAAGCCACCTTCCACTATAAAGGCCTCACTAGATTAGAATTTTTTATGCATAAGTGTTGTTGTAGTTTTGATTTTAGGTTAAGAATATGCCTGTTTGCTGAGAAATCCCAATGGTCTATTGGTGTGGTTATCAGTTTAATTGTGTTAATCATATATACGTGATTAAATAATTTTTAGGTTTTAGTTTGTAGACTTGGTCATAATCTACTCTCTACTCATTTTACATCTAGTTTAACACTGTTATTCAAGATAACGACATCTGGGACTAATCAATCAGTCCCCTAACTGGGTTTAAAGAACTGACTTAGCTGGATGAGAATAAACAGGATTAGGTTAGCCTGATAACTGCATGTTAGACTTGAATTAAATAACTGGTCTATGGTTTATGGGTTCACTAACACCAAACTGTTTCTGTTTCCGTTTTTTTCAGGCGTGAATCCAAAAAGCAACTCCACAGTAGGAAGCCAGGGAGCCACCAAAAAGATGTGGAGCAACTCATGTTCAGTCAAAGCAGCAGGTCTGGAGTTTCCTCTGGGCAAAGGTGAGAAAGATTCCACGATTAATGCTACAACTTTTATGAGAGAGAAAATGTTTTTCATAGGACATTTATCTGCCTGTTGTCCTTTGTAGTGGAACGTAATGTAAAAGTTGTTCATCCAAGCTGTGGTTTTATCAAATGTTTGGTGCTTTTTGGGGATAAATTGTGTCATATGATGGCAGAAAACCAACCTTGTCCAAATCTTAGCGCACATTAAAACTGATGCATAATCATTTATAAGCTCTGTTTGATACAGGTTTGCTGAAATACTGGAAGTTGTGATAAGAAGTGTTCAAATTCCAAGAAGAAAGGTCTTCTCTGTAATGACAGTTATACTTTAGTTATTTTATTTTCATTGTGGCCCATCTTTTTTTTTTTGTAAGAGTAAAAAGCTGTTAAAGCCACGTTATGCTGTTTGTCCATCCAAGACTTTGGTCTTACAAATCTCACCTCCTTCTTTATTGTCTGCTCACTCTTCCTTTCATCTTTCTCTGTTGTGATGTGGGTTTAGATGTTAGTCTTCCCAAAATAACAGATAAGCAGCGTCTGAAAGAAAAGACAACAGAGGATCTTGATTTTTTCAGAGGTATCTTAAATTTAAATTTAGGAAAAAGTGTACAAATTGATGTAGATTGTAGATTGTCATTACATCTCAGATCATCTATATTGTCGAACCATTTCTGATTTCAGATTTGCCTGAATTTTTTATAGCATAAAATACTGATGTTTATGAAGATATTTGTGAAATGTTGACTTGATTTATCAAATATTTTCCAAATTGCCCGTCGACCTACTTTCAGCAGTTTTTTTTCGCATATTGAAATTTGAAGCTATGTTTGAATGACAGTATCTCAGGAACAAGATATAAGCTATATTCATATCTCAACAATCAGAGACTATTTGATCAGCATGTCCAATATTGAAGATTTCAAATAAATGGCATAAGAAATAACCATGAACATTTCAGGCTTTTATCTTTAAATGTTCCTGAATTATTGTTGTTCAAACAAAACCTGGAATTGTAAAAACTCATGCTTAAAGTGGGTCAACGGGTGACAAAAATATCCAGAAAAATAATTGACATTCAAAAAGCTAAAATGTCACAGATGACATTTTAAATATCCATATGTTATGCTGAAAAGTTTCAAGCAACCCTGATGATTTGAGAAGGAAGTACGCAGTTCAAACTACATCACTGTTTTCAGCTGCTTTAAGCCGTAGTTTTAATCTGTTTCCATCTCATCATTTTCAGACCCCTTTGTGAGCAACTCCAACACCAAGACTCCTTTTCCGCCTTTCCAGAAGACCGAACCAGGAGCAGGACGACAGAGGATCACACTGGCACCCATAACATCGAACCCCGCTGGTAAATATTGCCACAGACGTTCTTATGTAGTAAAGGTTGAGCCAGACTTTCTTGGTTCACTGTTGCTTAGCGTCAATCAGACAGCACGAGAAAATACATTTTTGGGTTTGAAAATAGCAAAACTTGAGCACTCTTCTTTAACTTTGTCGCGCGTTCTGGTGGTTGTGTGATTTGATGGTAATGTTCCTGGTTTGTTGCATTCCTTCTCTCTCCATTCAGTTAATGTCTGTTCATGCTTTCATGCTCCCCAAGGAAAGGCAGACATGGCATTAAAAAACACTTCTACTCCACTAAACTTTAGCACAGCACCCCCTGGAGTTAGGAAGCAGTCATGAAAGGATTGTGACTGATTTCTTTACCAGAACCATCAGAGCCAAACCTGATCGATCTGCTCAGTGTTGTCTTTCAGCTTTCATTTTTTTTTCCAACTTTCTTTTTCTTTCTGTGAATCTTCTAGTTGATCTGTCATCTGCTGCTGACCTAAGAGCAGGCTCTAAATCCAAACCATCCAAAAACAAGAACTCCTTAAATAAGCTCTTAAATGAAGGTAAAAAAAAAAAACAACACATCGCTACCAAGCACAAAAAAGCAACTTCATGTCAATTTCTACACTTGCTCTTCTCTTTCATGTTCATTTCAGAGACTGAAGGACGGAGGTGCAGATCTCTGAACCCTCAGATTCCTGGATCCAGCGCCGGAGCTGCAGCCAAACCCACTTTCTCCAGAAGCACAAACCTCCAGCCGGTGCACGGACGAGTCGACTGGACGGCCAAATACGGAGGTCACCGGTAGCACAGCGGCTCCACCACAGACTCGTGGGAAAATCTCCCAATGAACTTGAGCTGGAAATGTGTTTCACTGCTGCTAACTGTGCGTAGCAACATTTCCTGCTAGTGTTGTTTATTACATTTTGTTCAGTGTTATACAGGTGGGTGGTAACTTCTACCGTCAGTATTTTTTGACTAATCATCTAGAAAATGAAATAAAGTCATTATTTTTTATACTTGAGAGCGTTTTATTTTTTCATAGCAGCAAAAAAAGATGCAAATGTACAGTTTTTGTATTAAATTGCAATCATCAAATTTGATCATGTATATAAAATACAGCAGAAAAAAAGTACCTCTATGACAAGTGATGTGTGTTTTCAAAGAGAAAGGATTGTTGCTAATATCAGATTTTGATAGACTTGCAGTGTTGCAGCAGCAATTTCAATTTCACAAACACACCCTAAAATTTTACAAATATATACTAGAGGAAAAAATGTAATTAAAAAAAGATTTGGTAGATTTGTTGTTCAACGACTATATATATACAACTGCATTTTGTAATATGTTTTTGTAATTACACAAGACTATAATAGAAAATTTCTCAGTGGGAATGTTTAAATTTTATGTTGAAAGTATTGAAAACGTTGATTTAAATACATTCAAGTCTTATGTGGTCGCGTCTTCAACATTCCAGTGACGATCTTTGCCAGCATCAGTGCACTGAAAACAGACGACAGCATCACTTGACACTCAGCATTAATAGATATTCATCATTTTGAACACATTTGCTTACGTGATGCAGAGCGTTGTCAATCACACTCCGCGCCTCACCTTGCTAAAGTCATTAAACCAGCTGGCATGAACTTCCAGGAGTTCAGAAACCTGAGTCCCATCACGACAGCCAGAGTTCCTGCTGTACCTGCATTCAAAGAGAAACCGTTGCTGCTGCGAGTTTGCAAAAGTTGTTGCTGTCAAAGTTCAACAGACAAAAACCTGCTCACCGAGTGAAAGCCACACATTCCTGGGATTTTGAGATGTCAGATAGGCGCCGGCTGCAGCCAACAGGCCGAACAGGAGGCCGGCGACCAGAGACGTGACGCTGCCTGTGGAGGAGGTCACGCTGATGTTTATCTGCATTCAAACTCTGTGCTTGATCACCGACATTAGACACAGAGGTTGGATCCCTCAGCTGTCTCCTTCACTCTTACCTCGTTTTAAATCTTCCGAATTAATCTTTACTATCCTGTTCATATGGCTGTTTTCTGTGATTCTTGTTTGTTGTTTCTGCAGGTATTTCTGGTTCTGAAGGTCTAATTTGCGGGTATTGGTTCCAGCAAGCTGTCCAGTGTTTATGTGCTCTTTGTTTTTTCATGTATGATTTTGGAGGGTCTTAAGTATAATTTCTGAATTGGTCAAGTGCTTAATTAGAGTATACATCACTGCAGGGTCTTAGCTTTGAAGTTAGTCAGGTTAATTACTATTACATATAATTTATCAGGTGTTTACACTAATATTACATTTATTCATGTGCATTTTCAGAAATTAAATTATGCAGGATCTTAACTGTAATATTTAAATAACTCAGTATAAATAAATATATAATACCATAGAGTTTTAACCTTAAAAATTAAACTTGATAAAGTTGTAAAAGTCAATTTTCCAATCTTTTTTCTCTGCTTGAAAGCACTTTGGTATAACGGCCATTGTTTTAAAGTGACTTTACTCGACTAACACTGAGCTCAGCATGTTTGCATTTGCAGTTCTCGTATGTTTTGTCATTCACTGCTGAAAAGTAATAAATAGGAAAACTTAGGAAGGTTAAGTAAGGAAAGAAAAATGTTTTGTATTGGCCATGTAATTCTAGAGCCCTGCTATAAATCTCACATTTAATGAAGTTTTATTGCTGAGTTGTTGTTTTTTTAATCCTGAAAATGTTTATTTATTTTTAATATTTTATTCTCTCCATTTGAATCAGTGCTGTGAGAGAAAACACGTCTTGATTTGAAGAAGATTTACTGCAGTGTTGTTATATATATCTATTGAAGATAATGTTAGTCTGAAAACTGGTTTATTTGCCTCTTCTGTGCTACAAACATGTGCAAAATGTGCAGGAAATGAAAATATCTCTTCTCTGCATTTAGACACATCCAACTTCTCAAACGCTGCTGCAGCTGCTGGACGTCCTACCTGCTTTCACATAACCCAGAACTCCTCCAGCTGACACCAGAACAGCATAACTGAGCCCGATCCAGTCCAGAGCCATCAGAACCGACAGTCTGCAGCAGAGAGATCCACTTCACCAACTCACGTCCCTTTACCGGAACTGAACCAAAACTGACCAACAAGTAACTTTAAAACACAAAATCAATTAAGTGAGACAAACATTTCAGAGGTAACTTTCACACAAAAAAATTACGTTAAATATGAAATAATCCAATTATACCTGATTTAAACAACAATTTCCAAAACAAACTGAAGTTTGAATCGTTTCCGCACTAAAAACATATTCACTTCCGGGGTCATTTATTCACCTTCAAAATAAAAGCACATACACAATATTGTTAGGTCTTTACACAACTATTACATAACTGCTATTTAAATTATTAATAGTCCAATAAATTTATATAAAATGTTAGAAGAGGTAAGGACAAAACTGAGAGAAATAGAAGACCGTCCAAAGGAAATTTAAAAAAAAAAAAAAAAAAAGTCAAACTCTGACTCTGCCACCAAAGGACTGCTCATTGAGCTACTCCTGAAGCTCATAGACCACAGCAGTGAGAACGTGGCTTGAAACCACCGAAAGTAAACTGACAGGAGAACAAATTGCATCCACTCTGATGGAAGCTCTTCCCCAAAGCTTTGCGAAGTTTTTACCATCACTCCGATGTACCTTCTCATAGTCTGAGGGACAGCTTGGACTCTTGAAGTTGCCAAAGCTCAGTTCTCACCGTTGCACATCAGTATAAGACATACACGCTCTAATGAAAAGACATCCTGTGATGTTGATCGTCTACCTGGTGATTCCTGCAGCATTTTTAAAGGCAAACCTGCAGTGAACCTACAGATATCTGGAGGCTGGATACAGGTGGCTGGTGGAACAAGTGTGGGCCCAAGTCTGTGACCAGGAGCTCTACTTCACACCCAAGAATCTCAAAAACTCGAAGAAACAGATCTATAAGATGCTCCTTAAAAAGTCTGGAGACGTACACATCATTATAGCGTCACTGAAGTCGAACAATCCAGAAATAGCAACAGCCATCGCGTGTCAAATTTTGTTTATGAGCCGTTTCTTCTATACAATGTTCAAAAATAGTACAAAAAAATGGCAATCAGTGTTTCCCAAAGATGACAAATGTTTTTTTCACTATATAGATATTGATATTAATGTCCTAGAAAAGAGCAAACCAGAAAATTCACATTTAAGAAACTGGAATCAGGATTTTTTTTCCTTAAAAAAACCTCCTAAAACCAATTAATTGTATAAATAGCTGGATATTACTTTGATAGTTAACAAATAATTAATTATTTCTTGCAGCTGAGATTCATGTGACTGTATACAGCTCAAGATATTAAAGAGTCCACTGATGATAAAATATTTTTATTGTCTCTCATCTCACTTTCCGTCGTCCTTTTTCAGCGCTGACAGCAAACATATTCACAAATTCTACATTTTATCACCTCCAGGTGGCAACAAAAAGCAAACGCACACATACAAACATTTTGACTGCTTCTCTATTTTCCACTGTCCTTTTTCTTCTTCTTCTTGGGTTTGCTCTCGTCTTCCAGAATGACTTCTTCTGCTGCAACTCGGACTCGCTTCGTCTTTGAAAGTTCCTGCAGAAGTTCTGTGGACAGAAACAGAACATTTAAAATGGTGTCTGTGAAAGTTTACAGTCATATATCAAATACTTGGAGATTTGTTTTGTAAAACTGCCCGTCGACCCACTTTACAGTCTGGAGAAACAGAGTGACTATTATACCTATTGAATTCACATATCTATTGGAGGGCTGAAGGTGG